TGCATAATAATTGTAGTGATGTGTTTTACGTTACTGCCGTGGATTATCAGGTTAGTTCTTGAGAATTTGATAAGAAGCCTTCTGTAACAACTTGTTTTCAGGTGCCTTTTTCTGCATAAGATTGCTTCTTCCTGATCTTATAAGGTAAGTAAAACAATTTGGTTAGGTGTATGGTCTATTCATATTTTCATTGCAAATTATTGTTGGTGACCTCCCGTTCAAATTTGGAATGTCCAGAGGTATGGCGATCTTATTTTTTAAAAATACTCCACTCGATTTGCAAATATTCAATTTAAGCTTTGCGACGCAAAAATGGAATCAAAAAAGTATTTTTTTTGAACGAATTTTGTATTTTGTAGGTTTGAAATATTGGAAACTGTCAGTTGTCCTCTGGTTTCTTTCTTTATCAGTTTCAGTTCGACTTACTTTAGCTATCGTGAGCTTTCGTAAGCATTTTTGAAGGTTTTCTGAATAAGATAATAAAGATGTTTGAAATATGAATTGATATTGACTGTCAGCTTTAGCCTACATAATAAGAAAGCTGGCGAAATATCATCATAAATTATAATGAACATTGAACGGTGGGTATTGGAGTTGAAGTTTTCAATATCTATAGGTAACAAAAAAATATTGATCAGTTATCAGTGGTAATTGTATTGATGAAGTTCCTACTACCTAGGGCCTCATTTTCAAAGCAGGTGAACACGCTCATTTAGAGAAAAAGTAAAATAGAGAGAAAGATATCCGATTCGTCTCTCGACGTGGATTTCACCTGATTTGTGAGATGTCGAATTGGGAAGCAATATGTTTTTGCATAATTATACATTACTGGATAAACAAAAGTTTTCTCAGAAACTTGAAACATTATTTCCAACCAAGAATTTTCAACACGCCTCTACGAATTAGATTAGCCTTTTGCTGTCTCTAATGCCTACCTTGTTTGCAGTCCACACCTTTCCCTTTTCAGGTACCCCCTTGCCATATGAATTAATCAGAAAGAACTAAACAGCTCTCAATATTTTTTTGTAGATTGGTGTTCTTTGTTCTATTTAGGTTAGAATTGATATTTTACCATATCGTACAGATATTTTCGTCTGGTTTGTGCATAATCAGAATAAAATGTTTGTTTTCTTCTGTTGACTCTGAATATACCTAATTATGACTATAATAGTTGTTTCTTTTATGGGAGAGATATGATCTGAACATGATAATCACCTATTTCCTAAGCAATATAAGTAACACCGCATTAGGGTTCTCAGTGACTTCTCAATTGTTAAATCATCACGGTCAAAGCTTCGCCAAGATCAAGATAAAACTTCATTCTCGCACCATGACAAAATTTATAAGTTCTCATCTATAAAGCTTTTTTCAGTTAATTGTACCTACTATTTATGATCGTTTCCAATATTTTGCGACGGCGTTAAGAGTAACGACTGTTTTGTTTGTTTTTTTTGTTAGGTATACAAATACCACATGTAGGTGAAGTCGAAGTAACCGATATTGTAATTCTTAAAGCTATCGGCGAACTCAAAGGCCAAAAAAACCAATACAAAGAAATGATGCCGCTACGAATTAGTTCACGTGGACTGAAGAATTGGCGGTTCGTATTGGATAATTTTTACTAACCGAGTTTTATGATTGGCTGAAGAGTCATAAAATTAAGTCATGTTACGGTGACCAATAGAATGTTAGGATGGTTAGAAGAGTCGTGTTGTCAATGTTCAGTTCAGAAACTGGTCGCGATTTGAGTGTTGAAATTCGATATTGGCGAAGTTATAATTACTTGAAATTCTTGTTATTTGTTCAAAATGTGGCGTCCTTGGACAAGTACTAATAGTAATAACGAGTCTGATAACAACGCAGACTTTTTCCAATATACGACTGTTACAAAAGCAATGAGATTTCTGCAATTTAATTCATAAGGAAGAAATTGAATAGGTACTTCCGGCCATAATGTGAACTGCTGTGACAAAACTCTTCAGAAGTGAATAAAGAAACTAGGATTCAGATTTAAAATAATAAACAAACGTCAAGCAGTTATGGAAAGCAGAAGAATAGTGAAATTGCGTAACAAATACTTACAACAAATATCTAATTATAGACAAGAACAACGGCAAATTTTCTATTTGGATGGAACTTGGTATGACACTCACGACACAGTTACGAAAGGGTGGACTTATGGTTCGAGAATGTGTACGCCGAACATGCCTGCAAATAAAGGATCGCGACTAATAGTTGTGCATTGCGAAGGAAGTAAAGGATGGGTTCCGAATTCTTTAAAATTATGTGGGAGAAAACTTGAGGACTACAATGTTAACTATCATAAGAACATGGAAGCTAATATTTTTGAGGAATGGTTTGAAAACACATTGATCCCAAATTTGGATGCGAATAGTTTAATAGTTCTTGACACCGCTTTCTATCATTCGCAACAGCTCATCAAAGAACTGAATAGAAATTCGAGGAAAAATGAAATACAAAGTTTTTTAATGGATAACGATTTGTATTTTGGAGATTACTATACCAAAAACCAACTACTTGAAGTTTTACATACAAAACCATTTGAAAAAGTGTATGCCCTTGAGAGTATTGCTGAAAAGTATGGACACACCATACTAAGAATTCCTCTCTATTTTTGTGTTTTCAATCCCATCGAGTTGATTTGGGGAAAATTAAAACAAAGCATCAGGAGCCAATTCCTTATTGAATGGCATAGAAAAAAGGTTAGGTCTACTACTGGACGACAAACGGTGCCAACTTGTCGCGGCTATTTTGAGGAACTAAACTAATATCTTTTCAGAACGAGAATATCATTGGTTGTTTTTGAAATATTCGCCAAAAACTAGAATTGTTGAATTTCGTTTTTTGCCACTACCGCTCCCATTCCGAATAACATAAAAAAAGATAGGGGAACTTTCAATACTGTCTCATACTTATAATTTGATACAAACCAATTCGCAACAGGACGTTTCGTTCATTAGATTTCATCATCGACTTTATTTTTTTCAAATGCGGACCTCCAGTTTCGTAGCCACTGTAATAATAAATTGAATCGAAGGTTACTTCTTTGCATGATATAAATATATATGGAGAGTTCATTTTGAAATCGGTTGCTTTCTTTCTTCGTTTGGAAGATTCCCACATTTTTTTTTATAAAGAGGAAGTAGAAAGCGAAGACATTGATTTCTCAAAAATGTATACGTCCTATGGCTGGGATTCAATCCAATAAGCGATTGAATGTCATCACGTCAGGAATCACACTTTAAAGACCTCGATAATCCTCAACTCGCACAAGTTTCGACTTCTGAGGATTGTCGTTCGTAGGGATGCAGCAGCTGGTTAACGAAAAAACAGATTTTAAACAGATTTTTTTTTAAACATACTGTTATCGATGACGTGAGTAGATTTAACTCATTCGTGACATAAAGTCGTAATTGTACGAATAAATTGAGTGTTTTTTCTTAAAATGTTATTCAGATTTGATACTGAAGAGCTGATACGGCAAAACGTCAGATGTCTGTCTACCAGTGACGGTGACAGTATTCCTTATGAAATTGTACCTCTCTCATATACTATACTGTGTAGCAATCCTGTGAATGATATCTGATTCGATTCCATAATGAATGTTTGTGGAATGCAAACTGCAATAGATGTTTTTTGTACAATTCAGTATTCATGTAAAAGTATTTGTTTCGTATTTTTCTTTCTTGTAATTCAATTTTGATATGAAAGTAGCTGTTTCGAAAGATTTTTTTTGTTTTTGTCTAAAAGTTACTTCTTTGCATGATCTACTACATATAGGTAGATTTTATTTTAAAATTAGTTGCTTTCTTTCTTCATTTTTATGTATGAAGATGGAGAAGTGGAAAGCCAAAACAGTTTTTTGGCATATTATATATAGGGTGGCTGGCTGTTCTATGAATTGAAAATGTCACTATGAAATATTGAATACGTTTATCATGGATTTTCACTACTTTGTCATTGCATTTTATCCCACGTTTCCTGTATTGTCCGTTTTAAATAGAATTTATTCAGATTTTGTTGATTTACTCTGCAGAATAAATGAAACGAGGCATAAAAAATGAGCAACCACTTTGGGATAAAGTAGGTAGGTACATGAAATCGTGGGGAAAAATTGCGAAGATGCATAAGAAAAACAATGTTTTCTAAGTGGAATAAATTCCCAGTTTAAAGAAAGATTTCAAAAGAATTCCATGATTTAAAAAACCCAAGATGAAGTCGAACTTTAATAATGATAGTTCTGCTGAAAGTTTGATTTAACGAAGGGATAGAAGGACAACAGATTTTTTTTTGAAGTCGCCAAGAGTTCATAGTTCAACTCAAAATTTTATCATTTCCGAATTATATATTCGAAATTCTGTTAAATGTCGACTTCAGTCTAGGAATTCTGTTTATTAAAAAAAATCATGACTCTTACCCGCCACCATAAAAAAATACAGAAAAATATTATTACTTCATCTTTTTTTCCATAAAAATTTTTTCTTTCACTACGACATTTTTTTACAGGCTTCTTTCTAGTAGGTATACCTACAGATTCGTTATATAGATGGATTTATGATTCAGATTTCTCTCAGATATTCATTTCAAAGAAATAAATACGTAAATTATAGTAACAAATAATGATTCCAGGCAATTTCAACAAATATGTATAATAGAAATCACAAATTTCAACAATCAGAGCAACTCAATATATACAAATTCCATATTAAAGAAAATCTCATGTCAATGACGATATCAACTTACGAAAAGTTGAAGTAATCTTCATTTTCAGTGTTTGGTGGACTCGAAAATATAACAGTCTTCTGGTCTGGGCCCACATGGAATTTTCCAAATCAGACATTGTTTCTCAAAAAAGTTTCACACAGAAGGGAGAATCAGTCAACTTACTTCGTTCAGGTTACGGTTTCACACACACACAAAAAGCTGTCTTTCAGTATCGGACTTGGGGAGGTTGTCGGGAAGTTATGAGTCTGTTTCACTTAAGAATTCGAACTATCCGTGCTAGTTTCGGGCTTCATAGTCCCCATCGGTCTTGTATGTAGCAGCGCCTGGTAATAGTCGACTATAGGAAACATAGGCCACTGCTGTTTAGCCTCGGATTTTTCTTGCTGGTCACTGGAAACTACGTCGATATCCTCTTCGTTCGAATCCTCCCCAGAATCGGGGGCTAGAAGTGACGCAACATCGAACTGCCTCTTCCTAGTTGGTGCCCCCCTTGTGGAGACTATCGGGTACACTGACGTTGAGGGGCCAGGTACGACCGGGGGGCTAACGGAAAGCGGTGGAGGACTAGGAGAGTCTGCACCGTCTTCATCGACGGCCAACCCCATGTGTTTTCGGACTTTTCGTTGCGCTTTGCGTCTCCTGAAGTCGCCTTTGCGGAAGTCCTCCACGTTGGCCGGGTGTATGGCCCAATAGTGGCCCTTTCCGTTAGCACTACGACCAGCTTTTATGAAACAGTCGTTCAAGGAGAGATTGTGTCTGATGGAATTCCTCCAGCCGGGCCCCCTCGTTCTGAAATAGGGGTAGTGGTCCAGGATGTGCTGGTAGATGTCGGATAGCACCAGTTTCGATTCCGGGGAGCTTAGTATGGCCATCGCGATCAAGCCGATGTAACTGTGTTGCGGTTTTGGTTCCTCCGGCTGCAGAGCTCTTGGGAACAGGGGGTAACATGTCAAAGTTGACGGAAATGGATTGAGTAGCGGATATCGTAAACGTTCAGCGACTGCGTACTGGTAAAGCTGCAGACGGTACTGGTCCAGCGGAAATAGAGCTCTTGGAGCGTTTGGTTCGAAGGAAAACGGCATCGGTAGTTTCGGCGGGGCATTGGACGAACTTTCGTTGCTACACATTTTTACAAGTTTTTCTGGAGGGTCACTAACACTGTAACTCACACTACCAACTATCAATATTCTAAACTTGTTGCTGCGTTGCTCGTATCATTAATCATGATCTGTTATTCGTGAGTGAGTAAACTATACTGTACTAGTAAGAACCCATCGGGACATCTAAACATTGCAACAAACACGAACTATTTGTCCACCAATATTTGGCAACAGACAAGGGGCGGGGACGGTTCGAACCAATCGCGAGTGAGCTCGCCCTTCCAAACTGGTTTAATCTCCGCCTCGCCATGTTGTTAAACTTGGGAGACGGGTCTCTGGATACCTCCTTTTATCGTGCTACAAAAGGGGGTAACTGCCCTGAAATCTTTGCATTTGTATATACTTAGAAATCCTTAAAATTTGCATTTTAATCCATAACGAGGATACTCCCAAATCATTTCGGGCATTTCAAATGTTTGTGTAAATCGACTGTATTTCAGAAATAGTTATTTGCATTTCCCATGCACGGGGGAATTGAATTCACATTCATGTTTAATGAAATTAGTCGGGGTTGGTGTAACAACAGTCACCTCATATTGAATTCGCATAGGTGCCATATTGGAACGAGCTCATTGTGTTCATGGCTTTGATTATGGGTTTGTAAAGAAGGATTATTTTTGTTATACCTACTCTCGTGCATCATTGTTGAAGCTTTTTAGTAGGTACATATTCAGTGAACATTTTGTTATGTTGAGTACATTGCTTCCCATCATAAAAGGCCATGGTGCTGTTATATTGATTTCAAATAGCTACATAACTTGACGCTGTACGATATCTTTCACTTTGGTGTTTTTATCGTTACGTGTCCTTTCTCATTTTCGATTTCGATTCGATTCTCATTGTTGGTTGTTTTGTTTTTTATGTATTTTGAAATGTTTCATCAACTTACTTATATGAAGTTGGACTTTGACATTCACTTTCTTTTGAATTACATTGAAAATATGAACGAATCTTACTACTTACCTATATAATAAGTACCTGAATCTCGTTCATTGCCTGTCGTATTTGACATTTCAAATGACAAAAAAATGTCATTCTTAAAAGTTGTGTCCTGTGAAATTTTATGACCAATAACCAAATTTTATGAAAGTTTAATGAAATCGATTCACCTATTTTTCATTTTTATAACAAAAAAATATGGTTTTATTGATATATAGATATACTTACGCAGAAGACATATTAGAAAATGCAGGGCTTTTCATGATGAGCGTTAATTAGCCGTTTCTGACAAAGTATTCAACGGATCAACCTGAAAATTCCACAGTATGCATAAGTCAATATAACCTACACGCCTAAAATATTTCAGACGAAGCGGCGTTGTCGCTTCTACTATAAAGTAGCGGCTTCTTTGATTTTTCAAATGGAACACCCCGTATATAATATCATATTATGATTCATTATCACTTTGTCAACAAATTCATATACTATTTCCCTATTACCGTTTAGAAGATATAAATTAATTTCGATATTTTTTTTACCAAACATGAACTTTTATAAATGCTGATAATCTTGAACTCTCTTGCACTAAAACGATCAAATTTGAAATGGAGTGGAGTGATATTATGAGGATCTTCACTCCGAGTCATATTTTCATTTGCCTCATAAAGGGTCTTAAAAAAATGCAGATACTTTGATCTAATCTAACTAACAAAAGTTGCTCCACTCGAAATGTTATATCCCACCTGAAGACCCCAACTTGGTTGGTGAAACGCGCATCGGGAAGAGTATTGAATTTCCCTACATCTTCTTCACTCATTTTCAGAAAAAACTTGGGAGTAACAACCCTACTCAAAAGGTTGAAAGTATAGCAATGCTTTTCATGTCAGAACTTGTCAGCCTCATAAACAAACTTGACGTGTTTTTTGATATATGCGTGAAGTGATTCACTTGGCGCTGTTGTGACTGGTGTTACTTTTTCGATGGCCACTCTGTATGTTCCGTCTTCGCCTCTCTTTTGAAATTAATCCAATTTATCATTATTATGACTTTTTCTTACCCTGGTGTTTTCTGGAAGTATTCCATTTTGTACTCATTTGTAGTATTCAAACCGCTCGCCCCCATTTGTAAATATATCGCGTACCCACCACGATATTCTGGGAAAAACGGTCGGGAGTGCGAGAGAAAAAAGAGTTGCTCAAATGCTGGAGAAATTCTCAAAATAAGCACGGTTCGATTCAATTTAAAATATTTGCTCTCTGTTTACCAAAATCACGCAGGAGGACAACATTCAAATTCTAATCACAGGAAATACAGTCCGCGTAAATTGATACTCAACACTGTATGCTGAACTGCTTTATGTTATACTTATCCTCTATATCATTTTTGTGTTCGTTAGTGGTTTTAGGAACAGTATTATTAGTATCCAAGTTGTTCACAGTCGTCCTTGGCCTGCACGCAAGGAGTTCCACAGAAGTCTATACTCGGACCACTGCTTTTTCTTATTTATGCGAACGACTTGATACAATACCTGAATAGTCTTTCGAAGGTACATATAGTTGCATACGCAGACGATACAAATGTTCTGGTCACTGATCGTAATACATTAGGACTTACAGAAACAACAGAATTCATATATGAGAAAATAATGAAATGGGCTGATGAAAATAATTTAGCACTAAATAAATATCAGCAAAATAGCATTAGTAAAATTCTCAATGCAGAACACCACCGAAACTCTCAAAATATATGAAGATAGCCAACTAGAGGTGACATCCAACTCCGAAACAATAATGCTAGGTCTAATTATAGATCAATAAGCTCAATTGGAGTCCTCATATAGATTCACTATATCTGTATTATGCAACTATTGCGCTATGGAATCTCGAATTGGGGTATGAGCTCCTCTGCTGAAAGAATATTTATTTTAAAATTCAGGGCAAACCAACAAGACCACCCATACGCAACTAGAGCTAGAGGGTTGCTGATAGCGAATCCTCATCGTACCTCAATCTATCAAAAGAGTCACCTATACCTTGGACCCAAACTATACACTGTGTCCGTAAAGTATGGAACAAATTCATGTTTAGCTAAACAGGTCATTTTAAGAAATAATCCTGAAACATGTCGATTTTTTATGTTAATTTACCGTATTTTAAAATGATTATCTAATATGCAGGGTGAACTACGTTCGAGTAATGACATCACCGTCATTTTTTTAAAAGGAACACCCCCATTTTGTCTCAATTTTCGGATTACTCTAGCTGAGCTGATTCCAAAAATGTATCACATGTTGATTCCAATTGGTACAG